GGGGGCTGGAATTATTATGAATATCCTTATGCCTGCATTTTTCAACTTGCACTGCGTTTTAGGTCTAGCTGGAGCGCTTCCAAACATTCGACTTGTCGAGACTCTTGCTGATAATGTCAAAATTGATATCTGGAGCATGGTTCCCTCTCTTTGCAATGAACTTGGAGAAACACCAGAGGTACTCGCAAAACTCAAACCATCGAAGTTCATTTGCGCATCCGGTGGCCCAGTTAACCCAATTAGTGCTGGTAAGGTTAATGATGTTGTGAGGGTTCTGAATTTGACCGGAACGACTGAAGGCCTCTTTATTGGCAACCTTGTTACTCCAAGGGAAGATTGGTTTTGGTTCTGCTTCCACCCTTACTCGGGGTTTGAGTTTAAGGAGATTGGGGAGGACACCTATGAACATTGGATACACCGCAACGAACACTGGCCTCTCTTCCAAGGTATTTATCATACCTTCCCGGAAAAAGAGTCAATCAATTTCAAAGACTTATATATGAAGCACCCTTCCAAGCCCAACCTGTGGGCTTTCAAGGGCAGAAGCGATGACCTCGTGGTTCTATCCAATGGATACAAGATAACTCCGCTTGAAACTGAATCACTGGTTTCAACGCATCCTGCAATCAAAGGGTGCATTCTTTTCGGAACTGGAAAGCCACAGGCAGGTCTTCTCATTGACCTAAAAGATCCATCTCAGAAGTCGGACGAACTATTGGATAGCATCTGGGAGACAGTGAAGAAGGCTAATTCGATGTCTCGCCACAAGGACCAGCTGCTTAAAGACTTTGTAACCTTCACAAAGCCCGACAAACCGTTTATCTACACCGATAAGGGAACAGTGAAGCGGGCAGCAACCTTGGCTCTGTATAACAACTACATTGACAGATTTTACAGTTCCTTAAGTGATGACCCCGATGAAATGGACGCTGTATTCCCCATTAACATGGAGTCAACTGATGCAATCGAGAATGGAGTTCGTGAGATCTTGGCGTCTTCAGTACAAGAAATACAACAGGCTCCTGTGGACACAGATCTATTCGAGCTTGGCCTTGATTCTCTTGGTGTTTTTGCGGCCATCAAGAAAATTCGAATGGCGACTGGCTTGGGTGAAAGTATTGCTCCCAGGCACGTGTATGCTAACCCTACACTTGCTAGTCTGTCCACAACTATTGCTCAGTTAGCTGAAGAAGCAAAAGCAAAGGCTGCCAGCAAGGCTGGCCCTTTGAGCCTGCCGATGGACGATGAAACAGCGAAACTAAGGAGAATGATTGCTCAGCACCAGTCAAGACAATCTTTCAAGCTGAATGCATTGGACTATGTCAACCCAAATCATAACATGGGGCTTGTCTTTTATTTCTCTCTCCGAGATGGGGTCAGCTACCAGGAAGTGTTCAACAACTTGCAAGAGGGTCTCAATCGCACATTCGAGTTGATCCCAGCTCTGAGTGGCAAGATTATGCATTGTTCGGAGCAGGAGATTGGCTATAAGAAGGGGGACCTTTGCGTGACGATTCCTCCACTATGCATGGCAGCTGCCGCTGGAAATCGTCTTGTATACAAGGACCTTTCGAGTATTCTTCCTTCGTTCGATAAACTGCGACAGGCTGATTTTGCCCCATCACTCTTCAAGGATAGCCTTGTTTTACGTGATGATCCGATCACTAAAATACCCGCGGATATTTCTGCTGGACAAGTCAACTTCGTTGAAGGGGGTTGTATTGTTGCTGTTGACTTGAACCACTGCTGTTTAGATGGACTTGGTGCTATGATTGCTCTGAAGGTCTGGGCTGAAAACTGTCGATTCCTCCAGGGCGACAAAACTGCGACATGTAGCTGGTATGACCCGGAGAGCTTCAATCATAGCCTGCCCGAGATACTTCACGAACAAGAAGGATGGACTCGCCCCGTTGACGAAGTAGACCCTGGTACTTGGGGTTTCCTACCATTCTTTCCCCCAGATGACAGTCCAACCAACCATGAATCTCCCCTCGGTCCTCGTCCCGTTTTCCCTCTACATAACGTGTGGCCTCTCCCTCGTGCTGAAAGATGTATGAAGACCACTTCATTCCTGATCACTCCCGAGAAGCTCGAGAAAATGAAGCAGGATGTAATTGCAGACCCAGAAGCAAAGGGTGTGATTACATCTATCAGCGACATAGTGCAGGCATTCTTCTGGGGTACTGCCATCAGAGCACGATACCGCGTGGCCAAGGAGATCCGAAGACAAACTTTTGGCCCGGATGAGATGTCGATTCTCGAATTACCAACGGATGGTCGTCCATACTTCTCTACCCGCCTGCCATCTACATATATGGGAAGTGTCCTCATTATGAACCGCTGCAGTATTCCTGTGGAAACCCTTTGCTCTCCTGACACAAGTATCGGGTATGTCGCATACATGCTCCGCCAGTCTACAGCACGCATTACACCATCGCTCGTGCACGATGCCTTCACAATCTTGCAGTCTCTTCCAGACCACAGCCGATTCTCAACTGCGAATATGGGTCTTGAACACATGCACGCTATGATATCCAATATGATGCTCTTCCCCACAAGTGAGATATCTTTCGGCAGCAAGTTCTTTGCCAACGGGGGATCCCCGGAGTCTATGCGGCCACAGGTTGATCGCGCTAATGGCATCTTCCGATTCCTGGCCATCTATCCCATGAAGAAGGATGGAGGCGTCGAGCTTGTTCTTGGAACCCATGCGGAGGAATTGGAAATGTTCAAAACCGATGCAGAGTTTACCAAATATGCAGACCTCGTTGATGTCTGCTGAAAGTTTTTGTGACGGGAGGATTTACCCTGACGATTTGCTGTAATTGAAGATTTTCATTTGTAAATATTAATGATTATGTTTACTGTCTGTACATGTTGTTTCTCTTAGTATATAACACTGTGGCTAGTCAATAACCTGTTCGCTTTATTTGAAATCCTATATTGGACCTATCAACAGCCCCTCTCTGCGTGATACCCACCAGTTGCCAGTACTTGCTGCTAGTGAGTTGCATTTAATTAGACCTGTGGGGCCTGTATGACATTTTGACCTGATGGTCCATTTAACCACTTTAACTAACTGGTTAATTAGTCCACCGTCGAGATTGTTAAAACTAATTAACTCGTTAACTAACTAACTAGTTGGCCAACTGACCGGCTTAATCCCTTCCAATTATCTACATCAACTCTGATTCCCATTCAGGACCTGTACCGTTCCCGTTGCTGCCGTCGCCATGCGGTAGAACTGCGCAAGCACCCACTGGCCGCAGCTCAAGGACCTGTGTCAGACACCCCCGTGGAGAGACTACCCGGTTCAGGCGCCATCCGGCATTTTCTGCGATGGTTCTGTACTCATCCAGTGTCCTCTCCTTATTTCTGCAGCGGGCGAGCATCCGGATATCTGCATACCGGGCCCCTCGCCCCACACGGCCATCAAAAAGGACGGATTCCACTATAAGTACACGACTGATGCCTGTTTTTATAGTTATTGTGTCTCGAATCCGTCGAAGCAGTTTAACGCAGTCCTCGTCGCCCCAGTTGTGCAAAATCCATCGCAGTAGATATACAGAGGATTCAGGTAATGGATCCTTGAAAAAATCCCCTCCAGTGATGGATGCAACTCGTTTTGCAAGCGGGTCATCCAGTGGGAACTTCTGTCGCAGGATTTCCGCCGTCGATGGAAGCTCAAATGCTGCCGCTGTTGCATCTGGGAACTTCTCCAGGTATGTACGGATAAAGTCGCCAGCGCCCGCACCGATATCGACAATGGTCTCGCTCTTGACATCCTTCCAGGGGTAATCAGCCAGGAGACCAGGGGCCTCTACGACGCTTCCAGTACCTGTCACCTTATGGAAACCGGCAGCCCTGCCAGTGTCTGCAAGGAACTGGTAGATGGGCTTGTCAGTGTTATAGAAGAGCTCGGTCGCCGTCTTGGGCTGATCACTCTTGAGTTGGCTGGGTAGATGGGACAGCAGATCATAATACTCGCGAGGGAAAAAGTCAACCCAGTTGATCCAGGTGGCCCAGTGATCTTTGCGAAGGAGGTTGGACAGCCGGTTGTTAGACAGTCTGCCAGTTTGGAGGTCCCGGTGGAAATAACCCATCTCATGGAGATAGTGGATTATCTGGGAAAGCCCTTGTTCATAGAGGCCTGCAGCGCTGGCGAGCTGGGAAATGCTACATGGCTGGAGCGTTTGGACATGGTCGGCCAAGTGATACTCTGAGGCACAGAGCAACACTTTGCTGTTGGTAAAAGCTGCACAGCAAATCAGTACAATGCAGTTATACCGCAAGAGGAAGAGGTTGTGAATCTGTACCAAACACCCCATCCACTAAAAGCATATGGGGAGGAGTCAAAATCAGGAGGAGCTTGTCTAGTGCCTGCACAACGTCAAGGAGCTTCTGATACACCGCAACGGATGTCCCTGGAGATGTCGGGGAGATATCATGAAATGACCTAAGCTCTTCTGAGAGAGGGCCTTCAAGCTGCTGTAGAGCATGCTCAATATTCCAGCTCAAGTGCTCAAGCTCATTTTCCATGTCTGATTGCGTAACTAGTTACTGGCGTTGCGCTGTACGAGGGGCGAGTCTGGGTGAATTGGATTTTGAATAGCTAATGGATATCCAGAGACGCCATGTGTTGAGCAACAACGAAAGATATACTGCGCCAGAGTATGCTGCAATGACTTCCCTCATCCTTTGTGGACCAAGCCGAACGGGCTTCGGTGGATATTTTAATATCTACGGTGCCTGGTTATACCCGCCGAGATGCCGGCTGCGGCGCCGCAACGGTTTAACTTACCGGTTAACTGACAAGGGCTAGAAAGAAAAAGGCGAGGAAGAGTGTGCGATAGCCCGGTTGACTATGTTGACTGCTATACTAGTCCTTAATATCAGTTTGCTCCATGGATGGTTGATAAAAACCAAGGGATAATAATTTGGAATCGCAGCAATCACCACTACTAGGGCCTTTATAACGAGTTGAATAGGAGATACCGAAAATGAAACAGCAGGTAGAGTATCTCCTTGACCACTTTCGCGAAGAGGTACAACGACATCCAGCGTCAATTGCGATTGAGGATGGAACGAAGTCTCTAGACGAGTCAGCCTGGCCAAAGGTCAGTTACGCCGAGCTTGACGCTCTATCTGATGCCTGGAGTAGACAGCTGTCAGTGGCAGGCGTGGGTCCGGGCTGTATAGTTCCTCTGATATCCACCAGGTCCATCGCTATGGTTGCAGCGGTACTGGCAATCCTTAAGCTGCGCGCTGCATATGTGCCCATCGATGCAGATTCTTGGGGTAAGGGCCGCATAAATGGAGTGCTTGCAAGAATTTCTCCGCAGATTGTTGTATCGACTGTGGGTTGCTTAGAGGGTGGCCACCCGTATCCAGTTCACTACTTTGAGGAGCCTGGTATACCCAACTTGGCTATGGGCAGTGACATCAGCACCCCGAGCCATTATCTCCGGTCATGTTATAGCGGAGACGACCTTGCATATATCATATTCACATCTGGAACGACAGGACAACCAAAAGGGGTGATGGTCGGCTTGGAATCCATATCTCGGTATGTGAATGAAGGCGGAGACCTGCCGTTCAACTTCAACACCAGGCACGGAACGCGGGTATTATTGATTTGTTCAATTGCCTTTGATGGTATGTTTCCCGAAAGGCCGTGTTGAGCGATAGTATCTCACCTGACAAAACTGTGTAAAGTGTGCGCAGGAGTTGTATTTAGCACGATATGCAATGGAGGAACCCTCATACTTGCCGACCCACCCACCCTTGAAGCTGCCGCTAAGACTTGTCACGTCTTGCCACTAACTCCAAGCATCCTGTCTTCGTTGGATCCAGATGCTGGGTTTGACAGAGTCGAGAAAATATTCCTTGGTGGCGAAGCTCCTGCGGAACCTTTGATCCAGGCCTGGTGCTCCCCCCAGCGGCGGGTGTATAACTCCTATGGTCCCACAGAGACGACATGCACCGTGTTAATGAGTGAGCTTGTGGCTGGATTACCGATAACAATTGGCTATCCCATACCATATAGCACTGTCAGCCTGCTGGATGCTGAGGGATTGGAATCTTCTGAAGGAGAGATTTGTATTTCTGGATCAGGGCTCGCCTTGGGTTATTTCCGTGACCCGGAGCGCACTGCATCCTCCTTCGTCAAACTGAATGGACAGAAATTGTACCGAACTGGCGATTATGGGAAACATACCAAGAATGGCATACAGTTCTGTGGGCGTAGGGATAGCATGGCTAAGAACCGGGGGTTTTTGATCAACCTTGAAAGCGACGTTGAGCCTGCGTTGCTATCGTTTGAGAAGGTAACCCGTGCAGCTGCTTGCATGGCCAATGGCAAGCTCATCGCATTTGTTACTCCAGTTGAAGCGAGAGACGGCCTCCGCGAATATCTCTCAGTCAACGTCCCGTCATTTATGGTGCCGGACATCGTATACTCGATGGACACGTTTCCTACCACTGGAAACGGGAAAATCAACCGGCAGAGTCTTGTGCAGATTCATGAAGCTTCCCAGGACGCAGATGATAGCTTTCTGGAAGTAGGACTTAGTGGGACTGAAGCAATCCGCAGAGCCATATCCTACGTTCTCCAGCAGCCAATGGATCAGGTCACCAATGCTTCATCCTTCCGGCACCTTGGAGGAAATTCCCTTGCAGCAGTCTTACGTGCTTCAATTATAAGGAAAGCGGGTTTTGCTATTAGTGTTGGTCAGATATTATTACTGGACATTGTTGAAAAAATGGCTGGAGCATTGAAAGAGGCTGAGAATGCCGCGAACTCCCCTCCAACGTCAGGACAGTTTGGACATTGCCTGGGAGAGACAATTTCCGGGGCCAACTTCCCTGGGAGTGAAGCCCTCGCATCTATGACTGATATTCAGACAAGAATGGTTCGGGCAAGCATAGCTACCCCTGAGCTTTCTTTTATAAAGGCATCGTTTACCCTTGAACATCCAGGTAGAGATGACTTCACAGCTACCTTGCGTGCCGCCTGGGAGTCCATACATAAACGTCATGGAATTCTGCGGACGCATTTTGTCTTGACGGAACCGGAGGTCCAGGTAATATACCGTGACGCGAAGATCGCTTGGACAGAACGCGCGATTGCAGAAACAGACTGGGACACTGCCTGTCGTCAGGAAGAGGATTTTGACTTCAGCCAATTTTCAAAATTTGATCCTGAGGAGCGGTGCTCCTTGTCCAAGATAACCATTGTGACAATACCAGGCATTCGGACTCGATTTATCTGGACTGTGCACCACAGCCTGATTGATGGGTGGTCTATGTCAACGTTGATAAAAGAAATGGCATTCTACCTGAACAATAAACCGTTACCACCAGCTCCTCCACAGTTTAAACATGTTGCCGTGGCTATAGATCAGTTGCGCCGCAAATATTCGAGCAAGGCAATATCATTTTGGAAAGCGTATACGAAGGGATACGTTCCCGTGCAAACACTTCGATTGCCGCCTCCATCTGATATCAACGATTATAAACAGGCAACTTTAACCCAGAATCTTACAATGAGCGTGTCTGCGTTGGAGAAGGCTGCCAGAGACCAATATTCTGTCACGCCCGCAACTCTTCTCTATGCAGCCTGGGGTATTCTTATATCAAGGTATACCGGAACTGATCGTACTATATTGGGCGCTGTTCTGTCTGGACGAAATTTGGAAATTCCCGGAGTGGAAAATGTCATCGGCCCCCTGATAAATACGTTACCCCTTAAAGTAGATGCCAATGAGTCCCAGACAGCATACGTTTTTGTGCGAGGAGTATTCAGAGCACTATGCGAGATTTTGCAGTATCAGTGGTCTCCCTTTACCGTGATCCAAGAAGGTAGCGGCTATAACCCTGCAAAGCTATTTGACACCATTTTTGCCTTGCAGTATGATTTTCCCCAAATGGAGGATATGTTCAGCCGAGACTCTCTACCTCGAGACGTGAGGTATACCGAAACGACTGAAATTCCCCTCACTGTTTTGCTAGACAGTGCTGATAGCAGGTTTATTGCTCGATTTATATACCGACGGTCATATTTCAGTGACACAACTATTATACAGATGTGCCGCCACTTTGACAACCTACTAACCGGCCTTGTTGACGCTTTACCGGCCGCAAATCTTAGCACGGTCACCCGTACGATGTTTAGCGCTCCAGAGTACCAGGCATTAACAGCAAAGGCATTGCCGCCAAATTATCTTTCTCTCGGGGAAAGCCTATCAGATGCAATTGAGAAAGCCATCGAGTGCTACCCAAACCTATGCGCTGTGGAAGGCTTATCACGCTCCTTATCATACCATGAATTCGGTAGGGTAACAGCAAATATTGCGGAACAGCTTAGAAAGTCTGTCAAATTAGGGGATGTGGTATGTGTGATCTGTGATGGCTCCATTACCTGGTTAATTGCAATGATTGCGGTTATCAGAGCCGGTGCCGTTTACTGTCCGATCGACCAGAAGCTTCCACAGGCAAGAATGGAGTACATGGTTGAAAACAGCAGTGCATCATTGATAATTCACTGTAACGCCAAACAAGACATGGTGATCAATGACACCCCTTGTTTCAATATCATCAAAGCCATGGCAGAGATCGCATATACAACAACGACTAAATGTAGGGAGAGTACTCCCACCGCTGATGATGTAGCATGCTTGATCTACACTTCAGGCAGCACTGGGTTTCCCAAAGGTGAAATATTCATGCACCGCCAGATTTCCTAACGTTTCTCAAGCCTGGATGCTAACCTGTCCCTAGGCATTCCCTTGAAACATAAGGGTATCCTGAATGTGATATCTCACGAGAAGGGGAGGCTATGTTCTACTCCTGGACAGCGAAACGCACAGATGCTATCACTCGGTTTCGATTGCTGTATAAAAGAAGTATTTGCTACTCTTTGCTTCGGAGCAACTCTAGTCCTTAAAGATCCGGCAAATCCGATAGCTCATCTTTCTCGAGTCGATGCTACCATGGCCACTGCCTCTTTGCTCACATCCTTAGAGCCAGGCGATTTTCCAAGCCTGGCAGTGATCATGGCTGCTGGCGAAGTTCTGTCCCAAAGCCTCGCTGATAAATGGGCTACAGGGAGGACACTGATAAACGGGTATGCTCCGGCGGAAAGTACACTTATTGCTACGGTGGCAACAATATCTCCCGGGGATAAAATATCAATTGGACGACCATTAACGGGGATGTCTTGTTACATCTTGGACTCCAAGCAGCGGCCGGCCCCGATTGGAGTGAGTGGAGAGATATGCTTAGCTGGAATTCAGATCACATCTGGATATCTCTCCAATGAGGGGGAAACAGCTAGGCGATTTCTTCGAGACCCATTTAACCCCGACCAGGCCATGTTTCGTACTGGTGACATTGGCCGCCTAGGAGATGATGGCAACATCAACTTTGTTGGCCGCGAGGATAACCAGATTAAACTACGAGGTTTCCGGATAGACCTTGGGGAAGTCCAAAATACCCTGTCCCAGGTGGCCACTGAGGCAAAAGATGTAGCTCTAGTGGTATCAAATGATACCCTAGTTGCCTTTGTCACCCCCGAAACACTTGACATTGACCAACTTGTAAAGGGGCTGGAATCGCAGTTGCCAGAGTACGCCATTCCAAGCCAAATTATAACCCTTGCTACGCTCCCAACCTCTGCAAACCACAAGGTGAACACATTGGCCCTCAAACAACTAATAAACCATACAGTCCCGACGGCGAGCCTGGTAGAGCTTGAGACACCTATTCAAAGGACCGTGGCTGCGATCTGGGCAGATGTCCTTGGGCATGAACTCGGCAAAATGCCTATTAGTCCAAATTCTCGATTCTTTGAACTTGGAGGCCACTCTTTGCTGCAAATCAGAGTAGCGCAGGCAATATCAAAGCAATGCAACATCCACCCTATGCCACTGAGACAGGTTATATATCATCAGAGCCTGCGGGAACTATCTTTGGCAGTCAAGGAGTTGATTGACTCTCGGGAAAAACAAGAGCGAGTAACACGTTTCCTGGAAACGTCTCCAATAGTACGGGAGAACCAGCTACCACTGTCGCCTCTTGAACAAGAATTATTTCTCAACCACCTAATCTCGGATGGTTCAACTGCTGGGAATATGATCTTTGCGTGTAAGATTCTGGGCCAGATAGACCCAGTATCATTAGCTAGAGCATTCCAGCAAACAGCTATGAACGAAGAAATATTCCAGGCTCGGTACCACATTGCTGACGGTTTCATGATGCGACACCTGGTCAAAAACGGGGGTAACATTGTCAGAGTCACTAATACGCATGACCCAATGTCTCTTATTCACAAAACTGCTCGAAAATCATTTGATTTGAGCACAGAGCCGCCATTAGAGGTTGTCATTATTCCATGCACCACTGTGCAGGCTATACTTTTGATAGTGATGTCGCATGTAGTAGGAGATGCTACAACAATGGCAACATATCTTGAGCAAGTCTCGGATAGATACAAGCAATTGCAGACCCCCAATGTTTCGGACATACATTTCAGAACGCCAAAGGAACTGACATACATCGATTGGGCTGGATGGGTTAAAATACCACAATTGAGTCTTCAGTCCCAAAATTTTTGGACCAAATACCTTTCCAGGTTGCCGGAACCACTAACATTTGGCAGGGCTCCTGCCGGAAGCCTAACGTATACCGGCTCCTTGAGGTCTTGGACTCTACCAGGTTCCATGCTTCAGAGCCTTACTCGTCTTGCTACAAGATCTTCCACCACAATGCATCAAATTGTGATTGCAGCTCTGTTCTTGGCCCTACAATGTGTAGATAGGCGCAATGATATCATTTTTGCGGCTCCTTTCACACATCGGATGGAGCCTGGGACGGAGACAATGGCAGGGCTGTTCCTTGACCGTCTTCCGATTCGTATCCAGTGTGGTCCAAACGAAGTCGAATCACTACTACACTTCCTCACGGCAGTCAAGCAAAGTAGCCAACGTGCGCTGGAACACGTTCTGCCTTACCGCGAAATCCGCAAACTCCTACCATACAAACCAAGCCTTTCAGATCCCCTGTTCAAAGTCATGGTAACGTACCACACTGCCTCCGATATGAAACCGGCATTTAGGCTTGAAGGGGCTGAGATTCAAAATATACCATGCCATAATACAGGAGGCTCCAAGTTTCCTCTCTCTATAGAGCTCACTGAGATTGAAGACTCCGAGGTTCGTGTTGATATAGAATATGACCTTGGTTGTATCGCGGAAAACACTGCGGAACGGATACAGTACGCAATCGGATATACCCTGCAGCTTATGGTCCTGGATACAGCTCCAAACCGTATAAAACACCTGGTGATATCGTCTTTTGGAGATTTCGATAGATACAAAACTTCAGACAGTACAGACGGTAGGGAAGAGGAGAAAAGGGGAAGGAGGGATAACGAAACAACACTGCAACATCAGAATACCAACGGCTTGGAACGACTGGCGATTGGTATCAGGGACGCAATGTGCCAATGTCTAGGCCTAGATAATAAGGCCGTGCTTCTCCACCAGTCATTCTGGGAGCTAGGAGCTCAGAGTATAGACGCAATACAGCTACAGCATATATGTAGCAAGCATGGTTTTGGAATCAGGCTTCGGGATATATTTGAATCCAATAATATAATGGAGCTAGCAATCTGTACTTATGGTAGCATTTAGATGGTTAGTCTAAATATCATTGTTCCTTCTCCAGAGCCTATCTCTCTAATATACCAAACACAAAGTCACAGTGGTAAACTGGCGATTATTGCAGTACCCCCCCCCCCCCCCCCCCCGGGCCGCTGGTATTGAAGATCCGCTTAGAGGTCTATCGGAGAGGATATTCAAATCGGCGACCGAAATTTGCATCCCCGACACCGAAGTAATAAGGCGCGGATTGGATCGAGACTGTTGCAATTGGACTTGGTTGATAACATATATAACATATAAGTGCTGGGGAAACCAAACCAAGAATCATCCCGGGAAAATAAAGCAACAGGAATTTTCTGGCAGAGATCCATTTCAGTTAACCCAATATGGCAATCAGCGCCGAATCTTTGATCTTGACACCAGCTGAGGTGAAAACACATGTTAATGATATCCAAGGTGCAGTTGTGCATGGGAAAGGAACGACGAAGATATCAAACGGTAATAACGATAGACCCGAACCCACGGGAGAAAGCTTTTCCACACCGTACGATGTCCTTACAGCTGCCCTCCCGTTACCTGCTCCAACATCTTCAACTGGGTATTGGTGGCGAAAGACAGGTCCCCTGATGAGCAGCCTTCTAGAAAAGGCGAATTACCCCCTTTATAAGCATTACAAATACCTTCTTCTCTACCATACCCATATCCTCCCATTGCTGGGGCCCCGACCAATTGAAAATTCGGCGCAATCGTCAGACAATGAAGCATGGAAATCTTTCCTGACTGATGACTATTCCCCCTTGGAGCCAAGTTGGAACGTGAGTGGCAGTTCTGATTTTCGGAGTACGATAAGGCTTGGGATTGAGCCAATTGGTTTTGATGCTGGAACAGCTGTAGACCCATTCAACCAGGCATCAGTTGCACGGTTCTTTCAGTCTCATAATGCAGCAGAGGTTGGGGTAACGGGCGGCTTGTTTGAACACTTCCGAAACGAACTCTTCGTCGGTCCTGAATCATATACAGCCATAAGGGAAACTCTGCCTAAGGGTGAGCACGTAACGCAAAGTTTTCTGGCATTTGACCTGGACGCAGACCGTATAACTACCAAGGCGTACTTTTTCCCTATTCTCAAGGCACTGGTTACACGCCAAAGCACAATAAAGGTGCTCTCTGGATCCATTATGGCTCTTGCAAAGAGGTCCCATGTGTGGGGCGCGCAGACAATCGCGGCGGTATCGATTTTGGAGGCTTGGATTGCCAGCTATGATGGAGCAAAAGCAGAAATGATCAGTGTGGATTGCGTGGATGATGTCGAATCCCGTATCAAAATATACGTCCGAATTCCCCACACTTCATTGCGAATAGTAAAGGAGGCCTATTGTTTGGGTGGGCGTTTGATGGATGACAACACGGCTGAGAGCCTGGCTCTTCTGGATACTACCTGGAGGACAATGTTCAGAGCGACTGATGAGGACACAGAACTGCCTCATAACAGCCATAGGACAGCGGGGACAATCTTCAATTTTGAAATACGCCCAGGAAAATGGTTCCCAGAGCCGAAGGTGTACCTTCCAATCCGTCATTATTGTGACAATGACTTGCAAATAGCAGGTAGACTACAGGAGCTCTTTGGGAAGCTTGGCTGGTATCAGATGGAGAGAGATTATCGAAGAGATTTCGAAGATTTGTTGTAAGTTCCTGGGAAATGCCTATTATCCTTCCGAAATTGATGTTAGCGTGGTCTGAAGGATGGAGAATGCTGACTTGGGCGTAGTTCACACCACCCACTTTCCGCGTCAACGGGAACACATACGTACCTTTCATTTTCATACAAGAAGAAGAAAGGAGTTTACATGACCATGTATTATAGCCCGCGAGTGTACAGCACACGGGAGGAAACGATGGACCATATTTAATGCACTCGAAGGTGGTGCTGGCTCCATTAAAGGGAGGTGTCGTGGCTTTGTTCTTCCTCAGTGGTACAATGGGTTTATTTATTCCTCGTGTGAAAGAGAGACCTGCAATTCAAATAAATATTGTTATTACTACTATCATCGACTGTTATATTCTCCTCTCGGTGCAGAACAAGCCTAAGGAAGGGACACATCTGATCGTACCCTCACATCTTAGTATGAATTAGGATCAGTGGGGTCAACATTCCAAAATCCCTAAAAATATATGTTAGGAAAGTAGTAGTATAGTTCAAGGACTATATCACTTACCCAGTCAAAAGTCAAAGATGGATCCTGCATATCTAGACTTCCCATGCCAAATGACGAAGATAATGACAGCCCTTGTGTTGTTGGGTCCTCTGATACACGTCGAGATTCTTGGAGCGACTGGGATAAATCCACAGACTCTTGATATATGTAGTAGGTATCATTTAACGGAGTCGAAGGTAAAATACTAGGAGTGTTCTTGGCTAAACAATTGGAGATAATTCGGTTAATAACGTTCCATGTAGAACTGTGCTCCGACCCCCTTGCATCCGTTGTCTTCTTCAGGACAGCTAGTGCACGGGACCGGAGTGAATGATGGGTCGTGGTCTGGAATTCTGGAGTTCCAAGCTCGGATACAATGTGCATAATTGCCTGGAAGCAGGCATGTCCCCCGATATGCCACTGAAATTTCTCTGCGTCCTTGTCATCGGGCATCATATTCATGCTCTCAACCAAGCTAATGGACTTTGTAAGAACACTATACTGCTAGTTAGTATCACATCCAATACGTGATCCAGAACCGGTATAACTAACGTCTCTCGAATTTCCGGATCCACAACGGCCTCCCGATACTGTTTTGGAGTCCGTAACCAAAATATAGACCAGCAACGCCATTCAATAACAGCAGCGAGACCAAGAGCTAGGCGTTGGTTTGCAACATTTGGGTCACAATACTGCAGGTACTGTGTTTGTAAGTGGGCAGTCATTTCATCCACCATATTTCGGATTTCAATGAATAGTGACTGAAGTTCTGTGATAGGATATATATCGTTGTTCCCATTAATACCTAGAGACTTAAGCCGTCGTTCTAACCGATACGTGCTGCGAATAATTCTCCTAAAGCAGTGGATTCCATTCAAGCGAATTAAGTGGCCGGTCATATCTGTGAATCCAGGTGGTGAGTATGTCCCTGCCACCAAGGGTTCGCCTTCGACAAGGTCATCGTCATTAATATTCCGTGGTAAAAGAGTTGTGTAGTCCTCATCGGCTATAGTAGGTTCTTGGCCTCTACCTTCTGCCGAACGAAAGTCTAGATAGCATATCTGATGCCATAGCCTGCGGCGAATCTCGACCTGCACGACGTCCATATTATTTGAGGGAAATAACGAAGGTTCTCTATGAAGACCCTGTGAAAGTGCTATCCGCATCGCAAGGCCTAATAGTGTCCACGTCCTCGACATGTCATCCTCCCGAGACTGGCAAGTCTATGTTACATGGTAAGGCGGAAGCTATACTATAGAAGAGAGTGATATTAGACTTACTAATAGAAGTACAAAGGCCTGTAGAACTTCAATTCTAGGAGTCGTCAGGAAATCTTCTCTTCCAAGGCCGTATTCCACACCTCGCTGAAACCTAGCAAGGAGCGGTCCCTTTTCAGTAGCAAAGCGTGATTGAACAGCCTCAGAAGATAAACTATTGATAGCGGAGTAGAATATTGCCAGAGCAAGGGGTTCAAATGTGTGTATCGCAGGGTATGGAGTTTGTGTAGTACCATTGTCCGTTGAAGTTTGGGAATTGGGCCCATAAATCTCCATGGTGTACTGAAGAAATCTTTTTCGAAGGGAAGGTTTATGAACTAGCCTCGTCATCGGATCCACATTAGAATAAAATATATCTAGCAGTGTGAAGCATTCCTCAGCTGTCTTGGGTGCCCACGGTGCTAGACTATCCGAGGGAACCTCAGTAGAAAATGGAAAGGGTTCAATCATTTGTTCCAACGGCGAAGGGCTTTCTGTTGAAGTACCCTGGACATGGTCCCCAAGAAGCATTTTTACATCATGGATCTATAATCTTTAGAATGTCACAATATCGACTCTGCGAAGCGTAGTAAGTGATATTGGGTGTTGTACCTCATCTGCCAGGAGAGCATAATGGAGAGATGACACCCAACGAGATTGGCCTCCTTCTGCCTCCAAGAGTAGCGCGCCGTCATAGCCATCAACTGAGAGGGTTTCGCACTTTAGATTCCCAGCTTTGGTATCGGTTGTCGCGGAGCTTTGCCCTGCATTGGTGGGTGTCGGAGGGCCGCGAACTTGATGCGGGTCAGGAGAGTGAGTGGCGTTGCTGCCACCAGTTATTACTCGTTCAAGCAGTCTCTCCAGTCTTTCAAGACGATTCCGAATCTCATCCTGACCAGCACGGAGGTTGGGCCGTGGTGTCCGGTTGGCTAACCGTCTGGAGGTCGCAGATGCGGCGGCGGGCAGATTCGACTGAGAGTTAACGTATGAACAGGCTCGATTGCCTCTTAGACACGGTGAGCACGTAGGTTGACCATGGTCACATTTGACCTTCCGACGACGACAAGTCAGGCACGCCGCGATGGCGCGCTGCCGACTCTTTTGTATGCCCCCTGGTTGGCCAGTGCTGACCGATGGCAGAGCCCTTGGAGACGGGGCATCCATAAACGCGTGAAAACGCTAACAGTCAGCGGTGCTCTGCTAGTTACTAGAGATGGTGTACGTATCCAGCCAACAACTAATTGTATAAGCGGAGAGCGCCTTATATGGCGGCGGATCCTGTTAGTGTTTGGGCTTGTGATGCCAGCCGGCGGAGTCGCATACTCGCAACTTCGCAGCTTAACTCGATAAGTTAACCAATGGTTAACTAACTTTGTTAACTAACTAACTGGGTTTAGCTTCCGAAGCTAGTAGATATTTGATATGGGTCACGTGACATAATAGGTACGCATTTACACCTCATAGCAAGTCATAACAAGTGGGAGAATTGGGTTCCCGGTGAGGTTGAGTACTAAGGAGAAGATGAGAATATTTATTGATTGATAATTCAGTATGAAAAGCTGTTAAATTCCGACGAGATTGGAGTATATGCTGCAACAAGACGTATATACCAAGGCAATTGGGGCAATTGGGAACAACGTTTTACTTCATGGGAGAAAATAACCAGTGGTTAACAGACACAGAGCGCAGGAAAAGGAAAAGTGATGTGGACAACAAGTAACTGCTAACTTGATAGTGAAAATCAACATAACCTCGTCAAAAATATAAGATAATTAGGACTTGAACTGCCTTGAAGCTGTTGAAAGTGGACCTGCCATCGTTTCTGGTATTTAATCTGACCACGGGTGCTCTGGGAGAATGAGCATGTCGATAGGAGCTAATCATACAGCCACGGTAATCATAAGAGCTTCTACCTCTTCCTTTTTGCGTTTGATACATTGGTTCATATAATCCTGGTCCACGATAGACAATTTTCGCTGGGTATTCCGGGTTATCGTATCAGGTATCTCCAGCTTTGAACCATCACGTTGCACAAAACTTGCATGATTGGGCTCACTGGGCTCTGAGGAGTCATTAACGAGGTTGTGCAGTGCATCTAGTGTTTGTTTGCCCTTTGAAAGAATCATTTTAAGGAGGACATTCTGGATTGCCTTTCCCTCTTCCTTGCTAACTTTGTAATCGCCGAGACAGCATGCAAGGATGTGAGACTCTCCAGGAGGCAGCATGCTACTATTGTTTATTGCGAGTAACTCGAACAGCTTGAAGATAAGCTCTATCGCCGAGAAAGTGAGTAAGATCAGGGGAAATGATTTGTCACATGTGCCGCAGGCAATGAAACGCTCACAGGTGTCTAATGTCGACGTCACTGATTTCATAGCTAAGTCAAATCGATCGGAAATATCGCGGTTTGCCAGCTTGTGAAGTACCGCTATGTTTGTTGCTTGGGCCTGGACGCATGTACATGTATCCCTTGGTGGCCTGTAGGCTGAAGGATGGTGTGATTGAATCTCAGGTGTTGTGGGGGAGTTGGGCTCTGTGCCGTTGTCTGTAAAGGACTCTGCTTTGCCAGACGATATAGGCGTTGCAAGGCCTTCTAGACCTTCAGATCTTCTTCCCCCGGATGTATCTATAATCGACCTTAGGTCCACAGTCCACCCGTCTAAATCATGCAAGGATGATAGGCCTTCATCGTGCATGCCCGTAGACTTTAACTCTGGGTTGGTGTTTGTTACCAGTGGGGAGAGTGGTCCTTTAGACATGGACTCCTATCAAAATGGAATATTAGCGACCTTGAGACGGAATCCGGTAGCAATAGCAAGTTGACACTGTAAATCCAGTCCACTCACCACGTCCCAATGTTCGGATGCTATATACGAGGCGGGTAAAACTGTCAGAGGGTCGGGTATGCCAAAGGTGATATCTTCAAATCCATGATTCGGGTTGCTGGGCTCCTGGTTAAGAGTGGAATACAGTTCTATTTGCTGCTGCCGATGGGCTCTTTCACTGGTTTTGCGATTTTTGCACCCCTTGGGTTTACCTGCTCTATTTTGATATCCGTAGCGACAGGAGAGACCTTTAGAGGCGCAGCGGAAGCATGGAGACCCCCCAGAGCATTTGACTTTACATTGATGACATGAATCACAGGCAGATCGCAATTTTTGCTTCTGCTCCGTTTCTCGTCGTGGCTGTAGTGGTACAGACTGTTCCCAAGAAAGCATTTCGCCCGCCATCTTTGTGCAATATGTATGCAGCGTTTTAATGTGCAAGCAAGGAGAAATTCAGTGGCACAAGAGCAATGGTGGGGTGAGTTGTACTCTTATGAAAACAGAGTCTATTAGAGGGCTTGAAATCCAAGACCCCTTGGAGATGGGACTGGAAAGGATTTGAATGAACAAATGGGGTGCCATGCGATTCCCATGGATGCACCTAGCTTCTGTGTATGCCCATGGAGGAAATAATACGAGAACGCAGCGAGATTCTGATACGAAGGCAAGCTGCGGTCTCGTGGAATGACAGGGATTTGATAGGCGTCAGACAAAATGGAGAATTAAGTGTGGAGCCACTACCATGGTCACCAGAGATAATGCCATGCTATTGCAGATGAAGGCTGGCAATCAACGTAGCTGACAGTTTCGATTTATGCTAGAGCATAAACCGCATACACACCCACAGCCAGGAATGGGCAAATAAGACGACAAGAGCCTCAGTACTAGTGCATGGAGGAAACGAAGCCTCGACGCGTAGTTGGGCTATCGCCTATCATTGTTCTCATCCTACAGGATGATAATAATCCTTACCCCAGCATAAAGAAAACGCCGAAGTCATAAAATGTCATAAATATGCAGTATAGGTCCGTTTGTAATGGGCTTTAGAGGTATATTTAGGCCTTTTCAAGCTTTGTCTTGCTTTGGTTACCTTGCGATAAATCGTTGCAAGTATGGAGCGGTTTTCCATATATCTCAGTCATCCTATTATTCTCCATCATGCTCAATTAGATTTTATTGATTGGTTCTCCATGGTCTGTTGCCTGAATTTCGGCATGCAGGATCACAACCTTTGAATCCTATAAGCGTTTCAGCCTTCCTGCAACTTGGAGATGAACATCAATAGTGTGAGGGGAAAACACAATTGGCATATAGAACAAGATGGTATTGAGAAAAGCTGAGAAAGTGAACAGCAAACAGGCGAGAGGCTAACGCAGCCCAGGAATCCAGGGTCGCAGACAGGAAGCGAGAGGGAGCCGGCAAGGAGAAATCCAGCGAGCAGGTAAGAGGCGAGCAACAACCAAATATAGGAGTTTTGAGAACTTGCAGGGCCCGAAACGGGCAGTAATTCATTTATTAAACACTTTTCAGCTCGCGGGGAAGCGAGGGACTCAGCAGGAGCCGAGGAAGGACGTCAGAAAAAGGTGTCCAACGGGGAAAAATAAAATTAAAGCCCAAGATAAAAATAACGAGCTTGGGACCCACTATTGCTCGGCCGAGCCCCATGGGACGCCAAGGCCCGAGGAGCGGACCCACTCAATCTACCTCGGCCGAGCGCCAAGACCTGCCACGGTGGATCCCCCGGCGACTTTATGTCGGGGTCAGGTGATCACCCGCGAGCACCGACCTCTGTCCACTGCGCCATGGCCATCCGCGAGCCCCTTATAAGCCCACGCTCGGACAAACACGTTCGCATGCGGACCGAATAAGTCCCTCCAGCTCGTCAGATCATAACGGAATCAGTCAGTATGAGCTGGCAAGGCCGAGTATTGGGAGACCAACCCGAAGCCGAGATGTCATGGCGACCTCCCTGCCTTAAAACGATACCCTTTGCCATGGCTGGTTTCTGGGGAAGCTGTACTTCGCAGCCTCCTTGAATCCCAACGTCTATCTTCCAACCCAGATCGATACTGTCCAGGATGCCGGCTTCTCTATCGGATGACCCTCTATCTAAAGAGGAGGCTGAGGCTACTCCTGCCAATGTAAACCGTCTTGACCGTATCCCTCCAGATGGTGGTGCAAAAGCATGGGCATGTGTTGCTGGATCCTTTCTCTTGCAATTCTGTTCCTTTGGCTATGTGAATGCGTAAGTATCCCCAGAACACCTGTATATGGGTCTCTGAAGGGCGTCATCGCTTACTATTGTAGTTGTGGCGTTTTTCAGCTGTACTACCAGCAAACTATGTTCAAGGAACAAAGCTCATCAGCTTTAGCCTGGATTACAACCCTCCAGATATTTTTGCTCTTTTTGTTCGGCCCGGCAGTTGGGAAGTTGATTGACGTGTATGGATGTCGGAAGACGCTTCCCCCTTTCAGTATCATGGCAGTCTTCGCCGTCTGCATGCTTAGCCTCTGCAAGGAATACTGGCAAGTCATGCTGGCCCAAGGCGTTGCTTTTGGATTTGCTGCTGCTGGATTATCTCTCCCCGCGATGGCCACAGCTACACAGTGGTTCTCAACTAAAAAGGGCCTTGCCGTTGGAATTGTCTCCGCTGGCAGCAGCCTTGGGGGAATCATCTACCCATGTATGCTTCCTCGGCTAATTAAAGAGGTTGGCTTTGCCTCAGCCGTTCGCTGGACTGCCCTTATGCAAGGGATACTCCTGATTGTTGCCAATGTTCTCTGCTCTTCACCCTTTCCTCCTCTAGGCAAAGAACCTGCAGCCGAGAAGGATAAAATTGCCTCTTCTAGCAGCGGACTACAGGGTTTCAAAAGCTGGCCATGGGCATTTTTCATACTGGGATGTTTTTTCACCATGTGGGGTCTCTTTGCCCCTCTCAACTACCTCCCTGAGATGGCAGCATTACACGGGTTTGGTGACTTCGCTCAATATACCCTAGCAATTGCCAATGCAGGATCACTTATCGGTCGAATTGTCCCTGGATGGGCAAGTGACATAATCGGACAGTTCAATGCCATGTGTCTTGTTACCACTCTTTCCGGTGTTTTGGTTTTAGCCTTTTGGCTTCCTCTAGAGTTTCATACCTCCTTACCTGGTGTCATTATTTTCGCGTTGCTGTTTGGGTTTGTCAGTGGGGGATTCGTCAGCCTAGGACCTCCCTGTGTTGTTTCGCTTGCAGACGATCGAGTCGATGAAATTGGTGTAAAGCTTGGAGGTTTTTGTCTCGCAATTGCTTTAGGGGCGTTAACTGGGCTTCCTATCGAAGGTGCCATAAAGGATAGAGAAGGGGACAAGTTCATAGGCTTGATGTGCTTTGCGGGTGCAACCATGCTCCTTGGTGGATTTTGCACTGGAATTGCTCGGATAATAAAGGGAGGATCACGGTTGATGGAAAAGGTTTAACCTAGTCTCTCTTATGGGGTTTTTCAATGCCCTCTGCTGACACTGTACCGCTAGTCGGTTTCAGTCAACCCACATTTTTTAATGGTTAACAGAACCCCATCTCTAATCCCTACCTTTTCCGGCCTGTTTTTCTTTCACTTATGATTACAACTATGTAGTGACGTATAACTTCCTAATTTATATTTCGACTAGGCTTTCTGAGACTGTATTGCTGTTAACTAGCTGAATTTATTGAATTCATAAATGGTAGATGTATTTGCAGATATTTCATCATCGGATGATTATAACAACCGAATATTTACTAATATTATTTATTCACGAAATATTTCTGTCAGCCTTATCACCTATTCTGTAGACAAATCATTATAATCTGGTAAGGCCGAGTAAATATATCACAGTTACCAGGCTGCTATTCTTGCGTTCTATGGACGGCCCTTTCAGGTAAACTAGAATACCGCGCCGTTGACGCCGACGTATATACCCCGAAGACTGCCTCATTTAATCGCCGACGAGCACAGCTGGTACAAATACATGTAAGAAATCTTGATACTTATGAGTATAGAATGTTTTGGTAATAACTGAGAGTCCAACGAAGTGGACAAGTCATGGAGAGCATACACCCTTATCTTACCATAGACCTTTTACCTCCGGGTATTTGGGTTATAACATTGCTACTCCTAAGTATCAGCATCGTGCTGCTGTCTCCAAATGAAATAGCAGATGTTCTGGTTAATGTAAGTCCACTAAGCAGTCACTGATATGAATAACAAGTCCAGTACTCATATAAAACAGACTTTTTTAACCTCTACTCATCGTATCTATGATGCAACCGGTAAAAGGGTAATGACTGGGCCTCGATATAAGTTTCCCAATGGCCAGATGGTGGACAAGTTTTTGGATGTCAAAAACAAAAGCTGGGAATGGGAGAAGAAATATGGAAAGACTTACCGCATCTGGGCGGCAACAATACCTGAGGTGTATGGATATCCTCCCATTTGAACATAAGATATGGTACAATTGTTAGAAGGGAAGAAGGCTAACATTCTCCCCGGTTGTTGGAAAAGCGTGATAACCGATCCAGCAGATGTTGAGGTTCTATATCGTCAATCTACCGACCACCTGAAAGCATCTCAGGCAAATGCAGGCTGGCTCCTCACACAGCTCCTCGGTTCCGGTCTTGGGCTTATCAATGGAGGCCGATGGACTGGCTTACGAAAGGCACTCGACCCAACTTTCTCACACCAAGCATCCATGAACCTTCTACGAGAGAGCCTCAATGTTGGTGCGGCAGAGTATGTGGCCGATATTCATAAATTTGCGTTTCCAGGCAAACAGGGCATAGATGGAGATGAATTTATAATCAATGCCACGGAATCTCTCCAGCGATACCCGTTCTTCGAGGTGGCTTCAATATTCTATGGTAAGATGAGCAAGGATGAGCAAGAACGGCTCTGGGAGCTCGGCCGTCGTT